GTAATTTATGGGCGCTATCAAGCGCTCTGAAATTAGTAGTGGCACAAAATATGCAGATGTCCAGTCCGTCATTAGCGGAACTTAAAACCCTTCGCGTGCCGCCGCCAAGCTAGTCATCAGGCGACCAGCACGGTACAATGTATTTGATCCCCGCCTGGGAAAAAAGTAATCACCCATTTTGCGTTGGTAAAAAATACCACTGGGGAATGCTTTATACAACCCCGCGCCGCTGTCCACCGCCTTCCCTTCCCCTCCCTCCGCTCCCACGACCCCCAATATGACAATTATTATTATATTTTTGTTTTGTTCAAGTATCCAGTGTTTACCAGTATCGCCGAAGTGGTCAGAGGTTGACTCCGTACAACACCGCACCGTACCGTGCTGTACCGTACCGCGCTGGACCGTACCGTATGTACCGTGACTCGACCTTTCAACAGAGACGGTGTGCATGAAGTTGATCAGGATTGGTGGAGTTGATCATAATGTACCCACAGGTGCAGCTCGCTCGACCCTCCTGCCTCCCACCCTTCGTAATGGCAGAGGTGATTGTGACTCCTGGCTCATGCTATGGTTACTGACACAGCACTGTTCCTGTGCCAGGTAAGTCCACTACGGGCTCACCATAGCCTGTGCTACTTGCCCCGCTCCTGTGCCAGGTAAGTCCACTACGGGCTCACCATAGCCTGTGCTACTTGCCCCGCTCCTGTGTCAGGTAAGTCCACTACGGGCTCACCATAGCCTGTGCTACTTGCCCCGCTCCTGTGCCAGGTAAGTCCACTACGGGCTCACCATAGCCTGTGCTACTTGCCCCGCTCCTGTGCCAGGTAAGTCCACTACGGGCTCACCATAGCCTGTGCTACTTGGAACTTGTTCTGAGTAGCTGAATCTATAACAACGTCCTCCTAACACCACGTCGCATTTTGACCTATACTTTACCTAAGGCTAAAAACTGACGTACTAGAAAATGGAAGCGACTCGCCAAATTGATATAATGTCCCGTTTTCTGTCCGTGGGTCACGTGGTTGGTTAGGATGGGGGCACTTTAGCACTATACAACAGTTTCTGGACGTTGGGAACACTCGCGAAAACGGGCTAACGTACAACGTTCAACCATAGTAGCTCTATAACAATTCTGAACAAAGAATTTTTACGTTCTCAAAACAATTACAGTTTTCTCCTCTTTTCTTCATATGACGCTATCTATCCTCAAGCTCGAGAGAGATACCAAATAATATACACGTGGAAGATACTGGAGGGCCAGGTCCCTAATCTACACAGTAAAATAACAACGTATTGGAGTGAACGATATGGAAGAAAATGCAGAATAGAACCAGTGAGGAGCAGAGGTGCCATAGGCACAATCAGAAAACACTGTATAAACATCAGAGGTCCGCGGTTGTTCAACGTCCTCCCAGCAAGCATAAGAAATATTGCCGGAACAACCGTGGACATCTTCAAGACAAAACTAGATTGTTTTCTAAAAGAAGTGTAGGACCAACCGGGCTGTGGTGGGTATGTGGGCCTGCGGGCCGCTCCAAGCAACAGCCTGGTGGACCAAGCTCTCACAAGTCAAGCCTGGCCTCGGGCCGGGCTTGGGGAGTAGAAGAACTCCCAGAACCCCATCAAGCAGGTAAGCGAGTAGCTGCTTTTTTTTTTTTTTTGAGATATATACAAGAGTTGTTACATTCTTGTACAGCCACTAGTACGCGTAGCGTTTCGGGCAAGTCCTTAATCCTATGGTCCCTGGAATACGATCCCCTGCCGCGAAGAATCGTTTTTTCATCCAAGTACACATTTTACTGTTGCGTTAAACAGAGGCTACAGTTAAGGAATTGCGCCCGGTAAATCCTCCCCGGCCAGGATACGAACCCATGACATAGCGCTCGCGGAACGCCAGGCGAGTGTCTTACCACTACACCACGGAGACTGTTCAGAGGCTCATTTGTAACATTTCTCACTAACTAAAATGTAACTGAAGAAAAAGCAAAGTAATATCAAATCGGTATAATTACAATTCTTAGTGCATTTAGTAAATAGAAACACACGAGTCAAGCACGTTTTGTGGAACTCAAACGTCGTCATTTGTGAAGACTGTTTGCCAGCTACTGTGCGGGAAGAATATTGTGCGGGGAAGAATATTGTGCGGGGAAGAATATTGTGCGGGGAAGAATATTGTGCGGGGAAGAATATTGTGCGGGGAAGAATATTGTGCGGGGAAGAATATTGTGCGGGGAAGAATAGTGTGCGGGGAAGAATAGTGTGCGGGGAAGAATAGTGTGCGGGGAAGAATAGTGTGCGGGGAAGAATAGTGTGCGGGGAAGAATAGTGTGCGGGGAAGAATAGTGTGCGGGGAAGAATAGTGTGCGGGGAAGAATAGTGTGCGGGGAAGAATAGTGTGCGGGGAAGAATAGTGTGCGGGGAAGAATAGTGTGCGGGGAAGAATAGTGTGCGGGGAAGAATAGTGTGCGGGGAAGAATAGTGTGCGGGGAAGAATAGTGTGCGGGGAAGAATAGTGTGCGGGGAAGAATAGTGTGCGGGGAAGAATAGTGTGCGGGGAAGAATAGTGTGCGGGGAAGAATGTGCGGGGAAGAATAGTGTGCGGGGAAGAATAGTGTGCGGGGAAGAATAGTGTGCGGGGAAGAATAGTGTGCGGGGAAGAATAGTGTGCGGGGAAGAATAGTGTGCGGGGAAGAATAGTGTGCGGGAAGAATAGTGTGCGGGGAAGAATATTGTGTGGGAAGAATAGTGTGCGGGGAAGAATAGTGTGCGGGGAAGAATAGTGTGTGGGAAGAATAGTGTGCGGGGAAGAATAGTGTGCGGGGAAGAATAGTGTGCGGGGAAGAATAGTGTGCGGGGAAGAATAGTGTGCAGGGAAGAATAGTGTGCGGGGAAGAATAGTGTGCGGGAAGAATAGTGTGCGGGGAAGAATAGTGTGCGGGGAAGAATAGTGTGCGGGGAAGAATAGTGTGCGGGGAAGAATAGTGTGCGGGGAAGAATAGTGTGTGGGAAGAATATTGTGTGGGAAGAATATTGTGTGGGAGGAATATTGTGTGGGAGGAATATTGTGTGGGAGGAATATTGTGTGGGAGAAATATTGTGTGGGAGGAATATTGTGTGGGAGGAATATTGTGTGGGAAGAATATTGTGTGGGAGGAATATTGTGTGGGAGGAATATTGTGTGGGAGGAATATTGTGTGGGAGGAATATTGTGTGGGAGGAATATTGTGTGGGAAGAATATTGTGTGGGAGGAATATTGTGTGGGAGAAATATTGTGTGGGAGGAATATTGTGTGGGAGAAATATTGTGTGGGAGGAATATTGTGTGGGAAGAATATTGTGTGGGAAGAATATTGTGTGGGAAGAATATTGTGTGGGAGGAATATTGTGTGGGAGAAATATTGTGTGGGAGGAATATTGTGTGGGAAGAATATTGTGTGGGAAGAATATTGTGTGGGAAGAATATTGTGTGGGGAAGAATACTGTGTGGGGAAGAATATTGTGTGGGAAGAATATTGTGTGGGGAAGAATACTGTGTGGGGAAGAATATTGTGTGGGAAGAATATTGTGTGGGGAAGAATATTGTGTGGGGAAGAATATTGTGTGGGAAGAATATTGTGTGGGAAGAATATTGACACTTACGAAGACGATTTACAGCATAACGTCCCCCCCCCCCCACCGGTCCTATACTCATACACACTTACTTAAAAGTTTATAAAACAGTTTTGTACAAGAAACAAATCCTTCACCCCCCCCCCCCTTTCCCCACCATTTTGAAAATTGTAAAACAGAGGGGGGGGGGCCGGCGCAAGGGTCAGTGTAAATATTAGGTTTACTGAGCTATTTTAGGCTCGGTAAACCTCAGTAAACCCTACCTAACCTAGGCTACACCTAATCTACGAATAAGTTAATTAAGCTTAGGTCATCCTAGGCATGAGCTAAATTTGGTAATGTTGATTTATTATCGTTTTTTCTTTTATCTGTTTTAAATTAATTAAAAAGAGGAATCATAATTATTTTTTTTAATTACAAAAAGGAATCTTCAGTATGAACATGCAAGCACAGCACAATGATTAGTATGAGAAGCCTTACCTAAACTCAGCCTAAGTGTGCAGACCACCACAATATATCATTATAATTCCAGCACATGTTCCGGAAAAAAGAGCGTTTTTCTAACACTGGAAACCCAAACTAACATTGTGGGGTGGGGCCAGAGCACGAACGGGGAGATGTTTACAGCCAACACTGATAACTTACAGCGCAGAGGCGGCGACGCGCACTCCACCTTCGTCAGGAGTCGTTTACCGCCAATTACGCCTGTCTATTCACTTTTATGATCTGCCTCGTGCCTGAGGGGGGTGACAATGGAGTCATAAAAGAGGCAGCGAAAATGAAGCCTTATAATGGGGCACTCGGGTGTGTAAATGTATTGGTTCCCCCCCCCACCCCCCTCTCTCTCTCTCTCTCTCTCTCTCTCTCTCTCTCTCTCTCTCTCTCTCTCTCTCTCTCTCTCTCTCTCTCTCTCTCTCTCTCTCTCTCTCTCTCTCTCACACACACATAAAGCCCAGTAGGCTCAGGAACCTGTACATTAGTTGATTGACAGTTGAGAGGCGGGACCAAAGAGCCAGAGCTCAACCCCTGCAAGCACAATTTAGGTAAGTACACACACACACACACACACACACACACACACACACACACACACACACACACACACACACACACACGGGCGGTATCAACTGATGCAGGTGAAAGGTTCACCTAGTAGTAAATAATCTAGATTATTGGGACTACTTAAGTATTTTTTGTATATACATAAATTTTAAGTATATTCTCTACAGCGCAGGCGATAGTGATACATAATAATTTACACTTGAAAAATATTTGAGAAACTGGTTCAAAATCTGCACATGGAAATAACCCCACATGATACCAGGAGACACGGCAGGAAGTGCAAAATATCCCCACTGAACAGCAGAGGTGCAGTAGGTACGCTGAGAGAA